CCTCGTGCTTCGACAGTGATGAATATGTTTAGGGCAGAAGTATCTGCGTGAGAGAAACCCAGGTTTCCATGATGAAACGCTGCATTGTAATTTGCCAGTGTGCGCCATAATAAATAAAAGCTCTCGGATTCTCCCGCCTCCTCTCAATCTTTTATCACCTCTCCTCCCTTTCCCCACACCTCAAGTCTTCATGCTGTTGCACTGTGAAAAATTATCTGTGAATCTATACAAGTCATCGGATCTTTAATTGGAGCATACGCCGCAACATCTGTCGAATGCTGAAACAAGTGCGCTTTTTTTACAGCCATGCACGGATCTCTTGATAGCACTTGCAAACCGTGAACCTGTGATGGTGAAAGCAAAACAGCTCAGTTCAGAAAGCCATGCTATTGTCTGTTGAAAAGGCAGGGCATATAATGTAGAGATCAGTGGCATGTTCGGTTTGATCTTTACTTTGTTCCAATGTTTGGAGTTTGGTATGATTTTTAAAAATGCGTCAAAATAATTTTCTGTTGATATCAAGGATGTGTGTGTGGGTGGTGTGTATGTGTTTTGTGACACAATTTTGTATAATACCTTGGGCATGGTATAATGTTTACTGTGTAAAAACTGTAGTCTATTCATAACTATATATATAGTTTTTAATTTTTATTTTTAGGAAAACTCAATCACTTGAATAAAACTGTAATCAATATTATCATTGCAAATAAGCCATTCTTTTAATTTTATAAAAAAAAGCTAATAATGACAAGATTTTTATTTGAAATTTGTAGTAAATTGTGTCAGAGCTATATAAAAAGGAATAGTACAAATATAATTTACTCTAATGCACAATAAACTGTGTAAATCCAGAGAAATTGGAATACTTTAGTTCTCTCTTAATCGGCACATTTAAAAATAAAAAGTTATACTTGAAATTACTGTTTTATTTATGCAGTGATATATTATGAAACAACATTGTAAAATATTATTGTAGTTTTATAATAGAATTTACATTTCTTTGGAATGGATTTTGCGGTTTGTAGATCTTTTTCATATGTAAACTGCAACATTAGAAGGTTAGAAAGAAAGTTGAAATGATAGAAAGCACAACATGACCTCTTTATTCATTAAATATTAAAATGAAATCTTATTAGAATTAACAAATTACTTCCAGTAGACCTTGAATAACCCCAGCAACTTAAAACAGGTTTATACACAGCAATTTTGCTGATGTATATTGAAAATGAATGATGATTTACTTTAGGGAATACAAAGTGAAAATAACCCCAAGTAACAAAACACAGTGAAGTCAAAAGAGTTTAAGTCACACATAAACTTATACTAAAAATAAAGCAGAGATGTAAAAAGAGTTTTTACTATGTAGCCTACATGGATGTTTTGTAATACTGCTCTATTATTTTAAAGGAATAGTTTCAGTTCTCCTGAATGAAAGTTACTCAAACCAGATTTGTATCACTTCATTTGAAACACAGAAATACAGTTGTGTATTTCAATTCCTAAAATAAACATTAAAATAATGCATTCCTATCTCTTTTCCTATCTCTTTTTTTGTAGATTATGACTATTATAAAAGTAATTGTAGACAGTATAGTGGTCAGTTAGTTAGTGTCAGTGTTTAATATGTTGACATACAGCACAGATAATCACGATGACCTGATTTTGATTCTCAGCTTAAGGTTTTTTGTCATCTAAAAACCATAGTTTTTCCTCTTAACCCAATGTAAAAATGTACTTTTAATGAAAGGCACAATAATTTCTGTAACATGCGAGAACATACAACAGAGTTGTTCCTAGATCGGAGATGGTTGTGGATGGTACTTATCAAAAATGATTTATATTATTTATTAAATTTCCCATTAATTGAATTTATTACTGTCTACCCTAACCCCAACCCTATATCTAACTGTCACAGTAATGTAAAACAGTAGTTGTATTGAGTATTATTTATGTTATGTATTAAATTACCCAATAAATTTTTTTTTTTTTTTTTTGTACATCTACCCTAACCCTAAATCCAACTGAGAAACTATTAATAATAATTATTTTTATACAGTGTCAAACTAAACAATGCTGCAATATTGATGTGCATATCGCACATATCCTATCTAGACTTTACCATACAAAAGGGTATATGTTCCAAAAGCAGCTTTAGTGAAGAATGGTCAGACAGGCAAGGGCTCAAAATAGGAGCAAAAAATTATGTCAAAGGGAATCCACAAAGAATAATCTGAAATCAAGGCCGGCAGTAGACAATCAAAAATCAAGAAACAGTCCAAAATCAAAAACACAACAGGGCAAAAAAAAAAAAAAAAAACACACAGAAACAAGGAAACAAGAAACACTCCGTAATGCACATAAAAGTAATAAGACTTCACAGTGACTGAGGTGCTCTTACAGTTGAAGTCAAAATTATTAGCCCCCCTGAATTATTAGCACCCCTGTTTATTTTTTTTCTCCAACTTTTGTTTAATGGAGGGAAGATTTTTTCAGCACATTTCTAAGCAAAATAGTTTTAAAAACCTATTTCTAATAACTGATTTATTTTAAGATCTATAGTATCTAAGTTCTATACAGCTTAAAGTGACATTTAAAGGCTTAACTAGGTTAATAAGGTGAACTAGGCAGGTTAGGGTAATTAGGCAAGTTATTCTATAACGATGTTTGTTCTGTAGACTATCGAAAAAACAATAGCTTAAAGGGGCTAATAATTTTGTCCCAAAAATAATTTTAAAAAATTAAAAACTGCTTTTATTCTTACCGAAATAAAACAAATAAGACTTTCTCCAGAAGAAAAAAACATTATCAGACATACTGTGAAAATGTCCTTGCTCTGTTAAACATAATTTAGGAAATATTTAAAAATTAAAAAATAATTCAAAGAGGGGCTAATAATTCTGACTTCAACTGTATGTGTGTGGAAACTGGCTGCAGGTGTGTGTAATCAGAGTCCAGTTCATATGAATCAGGTGAGGTGCAAAGCATTGTGGTATATGGAGTCTGGGAAAGTGGCTGATGTGGGAAGTAGAGTGCCCTCTATTGTGTCTGGTGGGTACCCTAGCTAGTGACCATAACAGTTTCACTTTATTTAGTGTATAGTGGGCCGGTATAAGATTCTGACGGTATAATAACCTTTGATAAAAATATCACGGTTTCGCACTTTTACTGCTCTAAAATAGATTATTTTTAAATATTATTTTTAAATAATTATTTTTAAAAAACAAAAACTTTCTCTTTTGAACGCGTCTATTTTAATTTGAGAAACATTGAACATGTTTTGGAGCAGTAAACATTTAGACTAAATCTGCTGTCTTCATTAAAGTTTATTTAAAATGACATCTTTGGATATCTTTTAGCTGGCGAGATATCATTGTCCTAAAAAATAAAAAATAATATATATATATATATATATATATGTATATATATATATATGTATATATATATATATATATATATATATATATATATATATATATATATATATATATATATATATAGTTAATTTTATTTTTTAGTTTTTTTAAATCGTACACATACCTTAGGAAGGATGTAGCAGAAAATTTTGATGATTTTAAAACCTTGACTTTTCCAAACTACGGTATACCTTGAAAACGCCCTATGCCTAGTGTATAGTTAAGTGTATTAGTATCTACAGTACAACTGAACAGTATATTGTGAATGAATGCTACAGCATAAACTGTACATAAACTATAAACTATACAGCATGAACTGATAAACTGTGATAAATACGTTAGTATACTTTAGTTTTTAACACAGTAAGCATCATGTTATGTATTATACCAAAAGGTCACAGAAAACGTAACAATAATTACAAATAAAAAACAAACAAATACTTATTAATATAAATTATTAACAAATGTATAATTTGTTTATGTTTCTATAGTTGTTTTACTGCAGCAACTATAGAATAGGGTATATGCAGAAGCATGCAGCAGGACTTTTAGTTTTTCAGTAACCTGTATACCGTTACAAAATGATCGTGTTTAAGGTCTGTTTTCTGTAAAAATCATTGATCCTCACTGCCTAAATGATGTACGCTATAAAGTGGGTCTCAGATTGTACAAGAAGCACTGCATTAAATTACATTTTTTCCACGCCATGTCTTTAAAATATATATATTTTTTACTTCAGTATTTCCAATGCTGTTTTTGTGCTCGCCTGCTGATTCTGTCGGGCACGTGCATATAATCGGCTTTTCATCTCGTTTTAAGCTTGAACAACTAAATGAATGCTGAAATCTATTTAGCTGATTTTAATTATATTACAACATTGATGCTGTTAAAGGAGCTGTTTTAAAATTGAAAAAGTCACATTAACCGTTCATCGGAGTGTTTTAGGTATGAAAAGAAACACTAGCTCTGCATATACCCTATTACCACAACAGGTTAATTTAGGTTCTTTACTATAGTATGGTTCCAAAACATTACAGTATTTACTGTAAACTACTGTAGTATTGCATGTGGGAGGATGAACCACTCACACTGTATGTTATTCATCACTGCTCAAGTCACTTTGCATCTAAGACTCTGCTGTAGGGAGAAAAATGTAAATGTAAAATAGAACACAAGCTATTGGTTACATCCCTCACTTGGCTGGAATCACAATTGAAGACAGTTTGAAATCCTTTATCTGAATTATTCAGCAAGTGTAGAAACGACAATAGTGTTTGATCTTTTCCTCCAGAGTCTGAGGTGGGTGAGTTGTTGTGCAGTTGGCCATGAGAAATATCACACAGCACATCATCAGAAACCATGCAAATGCAAAGACAGTTTCCCTCCATTTGAAGTGATCATAAGGCGCTCTCAGTGGGACTTGGCCTCCTTCCACGAGCATTTCCATATCATGACACGCATGTATGCATATGTTTTGTTGTGACACTGCATTTCATGGCCTGCTTTACTTGAAGAAGGCTATTGGGAGTGGATTTAGCCTGAGACTAATGCATCTGCTTGCTGTTTGTTTCCGCTGTGTTTGTGCAGGGTCTTCATGAGGAATGTCAGTACCTCTTTCAGCCTCAACTCATCGTTCAGAGACTCATCGGGATTTCGGTGCTTTATCCTGGTTACTTCATTGACCAGATGATTCCACTTCACAACAGATCTGTGCTCTACAAGTGAGTGAATATGAAGGTTAAGTATATACAAGTGGAAACTTAAATACAAGCAAGAGATGTGTAATGTACAATAGGTTTAATTGTCAAATTAATTATATTCTTTTGAATATTCTTGTCATCTTAGAATTTTGAAAAAAAGTATGTTTACACAGCCCAAACAAATTAATTAATACAATATAAATTAATAATAAATAGCTTCATTAACAATAGTTAACTTCTATACTTCAGTTAACTAATATTGGAAAATATTAAAAAAGTGTGTGATGTGTTATTTTTGTTATTTTATTATTGTAATGTTATTATTGAAGCAGGCTTAATGTTGTAGTATTGCTTTTTTAATCAACACTGCTCATTAATAAAATGCTGTCTGCTCATATTGTATTGGATCTGAACCAACAGGAGCTAATAAATAATGAACAGCTGTATTGTTTATTGAATAATAAAAAGTAACAATAAATGTATAACACATTCAGCTCTGTCATAAAGCTTGTGCATTATAATTCGATTTTAATTTTTCAGGCCTGTCTAGACACAATTTTTTTTTAATAACACATTCATGACTTCATGTTTTTAAACAAAAACTATATTAAGCAAATGTGAAAAGGTTTTATTCATGTAGTTATGGTATTAACACACACACACATATATATATATATATATATATATATATATATATATATATATAATGTAATGCTAGTAAGCAGGATGGATCCATGCTTTCATGTTGTTGATGGCAAATTCTGCCTTTACCATCCAAATGTCGTAGCAGAAATCGAGACACATCAGACTAGGCAACTTTTTTCCAATCTTCTATTGTCCAGTTTTGTTAAGCCTGTGCGACTTGTCTTGACCATGTCTACATGCCTAAATACATTGAGCATTGAGTTGCTGCCATGTGATTGGCTGATTAGAAATTTGCGTAATGAACAGTTAGACAAGTGTACCTAATAAAGTGGCCGGTGAGTGTATGTATATGTATATATATATATATATATATATATATATATATATATATATATATATATATATATATATATATATATATATATATATATATATATATATATATATATATATAAATTAATTAATTGGTTTTGCTATGCTAGTGATGAATACCAGGAATACACGCACACACATCGCTCACCCTCTCTGTGCTCTGCTCTCAGCACTTGACCATTCAACACACATCCTGCTCTCAGGCTTCCCTTCATTCCAGCCTTCCACTCTCATTAGGTTCAGATATTAAAGCTCTCCTCTCAATTAGCAAATAAAGTCTTTCTAAATGAAAAAGAGGAAAATGGAGAAGGGAGAGGTGATGAAATGCAATCATAAACAACAGGGTACACAGAAAAGACCTTGAGCACTGGATATTATGAGGATGGGCTTTTATCTACCATTAAAGCTGCTTTCAGAGAATATTTCAGAAGGACTAATAATTCCATACAATGAGATTTATGTCCATAGCAAATGAAATATATTCATGACAATAAGTAATGCTAGTAAGCAAATAATGCAAGTAAAGCGAAAATAAAATGTCAAAATGTGGAAGAAAAGATGTGCATGACAATTACAGCTTTCATCAATCAATTTTTATTCAGTTTTTATATTAATATCAATCTATTACCTATACTGAATATAACTTTCTAAATCTTTTTTATACAATAAAACTCATCGTTATGTGCTTAACATGGACATTAAACATATGAGCATTAGAAAACCTTGTTTTTTAGACCGGTGAAGATGCAATAAATAAAGTTTTTTAAATCATTTGTATTATTCAAAATAGGACATGCTATTTAATTAGATGTGAAATACAAAACAGTGCATAAAATTGGAAAAAGTGAGAGATTAACCATGAAATAAATAATATATTTTAAAATATATTTCAAGGCAAAGTTCCAAGACTAATTTCATTCATATCTTTTTTTTATATATTTTCCTCAAGCGAGCCAGTAGATCTGTAAATGAACTGTGTTCTGTTTGATTAAGCATTTGTTTTGCTGTTTGTTTTGTTAATTATCAAAAACCAAAAGACAAAGCCAATTGTGTCATAGCCAGAAATAAAACGCAGATATTAATTATTTGTTCTAACTTCACAGTTGTTCTCCATTTCCTTTCAAATTAAAAAGAGCAACTTCTGATTAGTTGTTATTGATGTAGAAAATGAAGACGGAGAGATATGACAGCATTTTTAATGAGTTTGTTGAAAAGGGCTGCATTTTATAGTTCTCCTGAGTTTATGAAAATAACAAAAGTTTTTTGACATTCTGTATTGTTTCATAATGTCTGCATCTTTACATTAACTACAATAATCAGATTTTCACACATAGACAACATTCTTGTATTCTAGCAGAAACAACCATGTAGAGTAAAACCATGCAGAAAGTCATACTCAAAGTAAAGAAAAATGTCCTTTTGACGGGTAGATTATTGCTCTTTTGTGCAGTGTTCACACCACAATTACAACATTAGAGTCATGTAGGACTTTTTGTTGTGTTTTACAGCAGTATTCTCAAACAGGAGTCGCCAATAGTTAATTGGCATACAAAAAGCATGTTTTTAAGCAAGAATTTGTGTCTGCTTGTATTTGTCTGTTTACACCTGAAGGTTTTGTAAAATGTAAAACTACTGTATATGAGCAGTTCCATGCTAATGTCAACCTTGCCATGAAAAAACGTTTTTTACAGAATAAGTCTTTTGTAGGTTTTTTGTGCAGGCTTGTGTTTTACATTACTGTTAAATGCTTAAAAATGTCTCGGTCAATGTTGTCAAACAATTATATTGGATTTACCAAAGTCACACAAGTGGCAATTTCAAATCTGTCACATCCAAAACGGAGAGTTTGCACATTCATAATGAAGCTTTTTCCTCATAAATGCAAAAATGTCAAATAAAAGAAAAGAAATTATTTTTGTTCTGTAGAGAGCCAACTCTTATCCTTTTGATTAGCATCCATAACACGTTTATTTTCCTCATTTAAAGAACAAAATAGATTGACATTTTTCTAATCTTATAACTCTGTGGTCAGTTGTTCTGGAAAATAACAGATGCTTTAATATAATGTTAACAGACTTTCTCTGTGAATTTATGTTTTGAGTTTTTTTTTTTTTTTTTTTTTGGAAATGTCACATCCATAACACTGGTGCTCATATAAAAACCAAAATGACAACACAGGCTCACTGGAAAAAAAAAAAAAAAAACATGCCTGCATTTTTGTTAAACCAGCGAAATGTATTTCAACATATTTATCTGCAGTTTAGATGTAAAATGAACACTGTGTGGGAGTATGTTATAAACAACTTTTGCTCCTTTTCACATTTACAGATTTCAGAAAGGGTTTAGGTCAGCGCTTTGCTAGTCTAGGTGATCTGTACGACAAGCCCTGCATTCTTGTGGACATGCATCTGAAACTTATAACAAAACATAGTCAGGAGGGAAGTTCAGCAGTCAAATATCATACTTTTAACCTTAATACGTTTCAGTCAATCGCGTGTTGCATTCGCATTTTCACCGCAAGGTGTGAATATAAATACTGTTCTCTGAATACAGCTGACATAAAACATAAGCAACATCATATATTGCACTATAAATCTAAAATAATGTCAGAAACAGCTTTAGTAAGTAGAGCTCTCACTAAGTTTGGACTGTAAGCATACTTGCATAATTTTATTTATGTTTCAAATAAGAAAGCTTTGCCCTTGTCACGCTGAAGTAGAACTAGGTGCCATCTGCAAAGGGATCCCAAGTTATGTCTTTTGCTGAAGTCGGGGTTCTTCGAAATTATTTATGGGCCGTTCACATATCAAGCACTTCTTGTTAAAACAGATGCTTCATACACATAAATACTTTTGTGTAATTGTTAATTACTAACCTTTCTATGAACAGGATTTGCAGGATCTGCAGATCAATGAGCAAAATAGCCTACTATAAAGGTGCGAAATAGCCTACTATCATGTCGACAATTATATTAAATAAATAAATACAACATATATGAACACATACAGCCCCTATTTGGGTTTAAATCTACATGCAACATATAGCCCACAGTCAGAGCAAACCTCTCATCTGTATCTTTAATCTTCACCAGCACGTGTAACCTTTTGCTGGAAAGTAATTCCGTCATTCCGAGTTCATAATAGTTCAAAAGTTGATGATACGAGTTAAATATGGCATTTTGTTCATGGTTTAGGTTGCTGAAAGAATCATTTGCTGCTTTGTTATTTTCTGTCTATTTCCATTTTTGAAAGTATGTCATAAGCACTTTAATAATCAAGCGCACGTTATTGTCATCAGTCAATTAGTGGTATGATACGGTTTACTTTTAGGTACCTTTTGATAGTGGAAACGGCCATAAAAGCGTACCAGATCGGACCACTCATTGGAAATGAGCCAATAGTGCCATGTTAGACATTAATCCAAAGTATGAAGTAGAAAACTCAACTTATTAAATTAAAGAAAAATTTTAATTAAATTAAGAAAACTAATTCGGAGTTGTCTGGAATGCAGTATTAGTAACATTTCAGATTCACAAAAGATGTGTGCCCTTTTCTTTGTTTGTCAACTGAAATGTGCATCAACACATATCTGGACCAATTCACAAAAAATTTATACGGAAAAACTTATTTTCAATGAGCCTGGGCTGCCTCATGTGGAGAAGTAATGATGTGTGCCACACTGTAAAGAAATTCTTGCTGCGCTACATTTTTTTTGTTGAATCAAATAAGGTAAAATTTTGCATAACTTAAAAAATGTAGTTGAAACCTGCTTGGCTTATTAAAATAGGTTAAAGCACAATAAAAATATTTGTTGTTTTGACTTTTTGTCATTTTTTACAGTGTGTTAATCAATTGATGTATGTGCCATAGCATAAAAACATGAACATGGAATTAATCATTAAAACTCATCTCGTCTTAAGTCATGTAAACTTCTAAATCATATAACATTTATGAGTATTTATGAATAATATGAGTCATAATAAGGTTAATAATTATGCTCATTTAAACATACCCAGTGTATGTATTTCATGATTCAATCCTCTACATTTCTCTGTCTTGTATTTGGCAGAGTTTTCATCCCAAACTACATCTCTCGGGTGAAGGTGCAGCTCGTGGACTGTAACACTAAAAACCGTAGCGGTGAGAGTTGTCCAGTTCTGCTGAAGATTCGCTCCAGGGCTCCGCCGGTCCACAACTCCAGTGCCATGGACTGCAGAGAGAACGTTCCATGTGAGCTGGAGGTCCCGCTGCCGTCCTGGGAGCAGTGGTATTACATTCTGGTGGAGCGATATCTCAGCAGCTCAGATGTTTATTTCCGCATTGGTGTTCAGGTTAAAGGTAAGAACTTGTTTTAACTTTTATGTTTTGGTGTTCTGTATAAGAGTATGAGCTGCATCAATGCTGAATCTATGCTATGAATGTGAAAAAGTTTTCTGGACATATATATATATATATATTAGGGATGGGAAGATTAACCGATATGTATCGATACGCGGCCATGCGCGTGCACGATGCGAGTGCATCGGTAGAGCAGCAGAGGATGAATGAAATTTTGGAAGCAAATCGAGATGCATCGGTTTTTGCGAGATGCATCGGTTTTTCCGAGATACAGCTTATTTTTTTAATATAGAATGTATTTTTTATTTATTAACAAGTGTTGTCAACCTGTTTTTGGCGCATAATTTAATCGACCTACGTAAAGTAAGCCTCAGCAACGGATTTGCGGATGTGTACACTTACAATACAACTCAGTGTATCAGGTGTGCGGATGAAGCTAGTGGTGCGCCCTCAGAAAGCGCGAGAAGCAAAACAAACATTTTATTCCCCACTGAGTTTTAAATCTAAAGTATGGCAACATTATGGATTTAAGGCAATGACTGTAAAAAATATGGACGACGCGACAGCCCCTTTTGCCATTGAACGCCTTGAGGGCAAAACGCCTGCTTGACGGGCACAAACTGTCGCAAAAGACTGCTGAAATTGGAGCCAGACATGCGCAGAAGGACTGTCTGATGGAGCCAGAGGAGGAGCCGCGATAATGAGCGGAGTCGAGCTTCCAACCAAACGCTTTATGTAAAATCAACCACGCCCCCCGAACTTCTCACTCGACTGCCGGTGTCTGCACTATAACAAACGCTCACTGATGTAAATAGAAGCACTTACATTAAAAAAACACAATAATATACGGTTTAAAAACGGTGTGATGTAAGCTGTTAAACTTTAATAAAAGAAATACATGGTGGACTGCAGAAATAAACGATCTTTTATACACTCTAGCCTGAATATGAGCACAAATAATATATTCTCTTATTGTTATATTTGTTGTTGGTATTTGTTATCTTCATAGGGGTAGAAATAACACTTGTAAAATATGAACAATAACATATAAACAACACATACATTTTTAGAAAGGTTTTTATTTTTAATTAGCCATCAACAGAACCCAAAATATAGCCTACACACCATAACGATTTACCATGCGGGAACAATCGTGCGTTTAGAAGATAAATACAGCAAGATTACTAAATATCAACAGGATATTTACACATCCCAACCCTGCAATTTGTCAATTTGTGCAAAAAAACTTTGCACTATTAATACAATGTCTATCTGCTGTAACATCACTAGTATATTGTTTATTCATTTTCGCTTGAATTGTTTATTTATTTAATTTTTTTGCCTCCGTTTTCATTTGGTTTATTGGATGCCTTCATTATATCTGGCAACGAGGAATTTACATTCATTTTAATGTTAGCTGGAGTGTTCAAATAAAACGCCAACAGTAAATGATGTAAATAAATAATATCTAACATTTACAGCTCTATTAGGTTATATAAGATTCGATTTCAAGAACGTTATAATGATTTATAACAGCAAATTCAGTAGATCACTTAATAACATGCCAAAACTTAAAATGCAGAGACGTCCTATAAAGCAAGTTTAAATAACCTTACAGGAGATCAACGTGGAGATTATTATTTAAACACAAAGAGAATTACTGCTAACGATCTCCTGTATACCCCGTACTTAAATGGGTTTATTTTATTGTGCAGTTTTATTGTCATTTTCGTATTTATTATTATTATTATTTAATACTTGTCGATACAGGTTTATTGTTATTTATTTTGTCCTTTATTTAAATAATTGCTATGCTGTTTGCATCTTTATTCAAAGGTTAAACTCAGTGATACACTTTGCGTTCACATAGTAGCATGCGTTTGTTGTTATATCAACAAAAATGGTTGTAATAACGTTAACAAATGTGAGGGTTTTATATAATGAAGATTCAATCGCGCCAGCTCCGGGCATCAGCGCATAACCTAGTCGCGGCGTCACGGGCTGATTCCGGCTCGCATGCGGCAGCGCCTGCTCGCTCGGCCGCCGCATCTGGCTCAATTGACTCAGGCTGGAATCGGGCAGTGAGTCCAGGCATCCGGAGTAGGTCCAGCAGAGGTAGTCAGTCTGAGGGGTAAGTCTCCGGCAGGCAAGAACTGGCCCCAGTGTATTTTGCTATCTGGGTGGCTAGGCGTGTATTAGCAAACTAATAAAGCCCGAAAAAAGCTCTGACCTTAGCGAATAAACAGTGTTCCACCAGATCATGTATGTCAGAAACTGTAGTTTACTGCTGAACTAATTTTGTCATAGTAAAATATCACAGAAATCGAGTAATAACACTTCAGTCTTCTGCCGAAGCTCAGACGCCGCGCTTTGAGAAACTGTCAATCACAGCTGTCAATCACGATGACACGCCCAGCATTAAATTACTGCTAAAAACAAACTGTTTACAAAAATGAGGATCTGCACCTATTTCAGCACAATAATCAGTGCCTTAATCGACCAGAACCATCGTTCGGGACATTTTATTGCAAGTGTAATTAATTTTTTTATTTGGGCTCAAGTCTCCTTCATTAACACGGAGGAGGCGGGCTTTATGACTTGTACTGCAGCCAGCCCCCAGGGGGCGATCTAACGGCCGAGACCTTCACTCAAACGCAGGCTTGCGGCACACTTGATTTAAGGATGGACGACTTGACAGGACAGATGCAATTTGCAAAATGTGCCGCGCATCTGTAAAATACGCGGGCAGTACGTCTAATCTGAAATCTCACTTGAAGCGGTGCCACGGTGTTGTTGTGAAAGCATCTTCCAGTGTTCCTACATCCCCGGCTTTCGCACTGCTTGAACTGTAGCTACCAGCTCCAAAAGTGGTGAGAAAAGCATTGCAAGTTTTTTTTTTTCCATGCGCAAAAGTTTTGTGCGCTCTATGCCAATAACGGATGTTATTGCATTGTTCATCTGCAGGGCCGGAGCAAGCTGAACTGCTGCTCTAGGCAGAGGACGATCACGCCGCCCTCAACCCCAATGTGAAAACGAAAGTGCACGGTTATGAAAATGAAGTGACGTGTCGCGGACCTCTATTCTGCCGCCTTATGCGCGGATATAACTGAGGACGCGCGGGTGTCGCGGACCTCTATTCTGCCGCCTTATGCGCGGATATAACTGAGGACGCGCGGGTGTCGCGGACCTCTATTCTGCCGCCCTATGCGCGGATATAACTGAGGACGCGCGGGTGTCGCGGACCTCTATTCCTCCGCCCTATGCGCGGATATAACTGAGGACGCGCGGGTGTCGCGGACCTCTATTCTTCCGCCCTATGCGCAAATATAACAGAGGACGCGCGGGTGTCGCGGACCTCTATTCTGCCACCCTATGCGCGGATATAACTGGGTGTTGCGGACGCCGCCCTCTCTATACTGCCGCACTAGGCGGTTTTAAACACCTCCTCCTGTTAATTTTTATTCAATTATAATAATAATAATATTAATAATAATAATGATAAAAATAATGGGTGTCACGGTGGCACAGTGGGTAGTTTGACCACCTCACAGCAGGAAGACTGCTGGTTTGTTATATTTTTATCAGCTTGTTGTTTACAGTGACAGTGATGTTTCAAAGCAGCATAACACTGCTAGTTCACCACCTTAAGTTTTGAGTAATCAGTGGCAAAATATATCTTTGTAAAACTTGTTTTCATAGTTGAAAAGTTAAATCACAATTCTTGTTGTGCAATGCTCAACCTTTATGTTGAAAGAGTGCAAATATATATATTTTAATATATATTGCACTTATACATTCTGTTCATCTTGAAAATACTTAAATAATATGTGCTATATGTTCTAAAATGGCCCTCTACTGTAAACTGACACTCTGGTTCTGAGAGAAGCCAGTTTGTAAAAAAAAAGTCTTGGTTTTGCTTGGTTAATAAATAATCAAACTCATTCAATGGCACAGCATCCTCTTTCACATAATCTCATAAACTTGATTTAATTAGTTAGTGCTGAATTATCGCATTGTATCGTGATATGGGTGTGAATCGTATCGTGTCGCATCGCAATATGTCATAAATGTATCGCTAATATATCGGATCGTATTCTTTGTATCGAGATGCGTATCGGATCGGCATTATAGCTTAGATGCCCAACCCTAATATATATACAAGTTCTGAAAGAGATCAAACTTAAGCAAAGGTAAGGAAAAGTAACACAAAAGTAACTCAGAAGTAATTTGACTTATTACTTTACATAAAAAGTAACCAAAAGTAATGCAATTAGTTACTTTTTGGGGGAGTAACTCAATATTGTAATGCACTACTTTCAAAAGTAACTTCCCCCAACACTGTATCTGGTACATTTTTACATTAGTTTAATTCAGTGGATGTTTTCATCCTGAACATAAAAAAAGGGTAGTACATTTTTTCAGCACGCAAGAGTTGAGGACAGAAATATATATCGTGATGAACCTTTATTATAATGAAACCAATATTCTGGGGTCCGACATGTCATTTATCATATGTTTTCCACTGGTGGCAGAAAATCACACCTGGAACCAGATTTACCAGTCTGTGTTTATGGGCGCGTTACTGGATGCCAATACATCCTCTGATTCATCGGTTGCCTGTAGTGTTTGGTTTGCAACAATCCCTGGAAACTCTAGTGGAAATTTTTCAGTCCAACACAAATGAGAGGGCAACAGCTTGATGATTTGATCCGGGCTTCATTAATTCTTTATTGGGATTTATCCGTACAAATGTCGCAGACATATGGCTTCTAGTCATTGTTTGGTTTCAGCATTGCATTTGAGCTTAGCCGTGTGAAATAAATGCATTTGGGTTTCATTGCTAGAAGGGTTTTTACAAAGGCAGGTGTTCACATGGCCCAGGTGGAGTTGGGAAATTAAAGTGTGTTAAGAGAGACAGGCTTTGTTATGAATCTCGATGACAAATTAGGACCTCGGTGGGCTCAGATGAGGAGCGTGTCATAGACTGGAGCCTCCGCCTT